AATGTTGTACAGATTGTGAAGCCCCCTGAGGAGAATTGGAATTTGTGATTTTGGGCTATTTAAACAAAATTTGACTTGACTTGACGTACTTGAAGTACACCAAGGACTGTTCTTGTTCCAGTGAGCTCTAATAGCTTTTACCTTCAGTCCAGTGTGTTGAGGAGGAGAACAGTACTGACATTAAGAGTTACAGCCCATTTACTTCTGATTCTTACCAGTTTTACTTTACCCAAATCATTTTGCAGTGCATGCTGCATGTAATTTTGTGTCATTTTTAAAATAGCATCATTACAGAGTCAAATTTGTCTGGTAAATTACAGCTGTACTGCTGGGGAACAAAGGCGAAACATATGAAAACCCAGGCATTACAGTAACTGTAAAGTGACTCCCCTTTGAGGGATAATTTCCTGGTGGACATGGTAATTTCTTCCTGTGGCTGTCAGGTGATTCACAGAAAGCACAGCGCAACATGACTCAGCTCCTACACAATGCTAAGACATGATTTCACAAAAACCAACTGAATGCTTCGGCTGCTTTATCACAGATAAAGAAAGAAACTCTGCGGGACTCAATTTCCATGCAGAACAAAAATAAATAGACGCAAATGGTGTCTTCTGAAGGGAGGAAAACAACTGCTGATATCTGCCGGTGCTGACACCAGCGGGGATAATGGGACAGAAACCTAGTCAGCTGGCACAAACTTCAAAACATCACTAAACTGCAGATAAACGAACAGGAACCCATCTTGACATGTCGGCACTGCTGCCCCTGCTTGAGTCAAACACTGCAGAGAGTGGGGACTTAATTTCAGGCTCGTGAGCCTCCTCCAGAATAATCCTGCAGAAAGCTGATTGGGGTTACGGTGGATATCAAATTAAGGAGTTGAGTTAAGGAGACTGCCTGAAACTCTGACTGCTCATTGTGAATGCAAGGAATGTGATATGTAATAAAATGTAGGGATTAAGAGATTAAAGCCTTTAGGTGAGAGGAATAAGGTACGCCGATTTGGATTTGACTGAGGATGGA